AGGCTCCATATTTTGTAAAGACCATTTTTAATGGCTGCTAGACATTGGTCTGCTAACCACAAGGTCAGTGGTTCAAACCCACCAGATGCTTCAAGGAATAAAGACGAGGCTATTAAAATTGTAAATTTTGCTATTTTAAAGTAAATATTTATAGCCCTGTAAAGATTTACAGCCTCAGAGAGTTTATGTAGAGTCATTATGAACTGGAATGGATTCAGTGGTGGTTGGTAGAAAGTAAGGGACATTTGTAAGTATTGCAATCTGTAGGACAAAGAGTTTAGATTGCATTTGCTATTAGGTGAGTTTTTGTCTTGTATAGGATTTTATAAGGATTGATTCCTTAATCATGCCTTTTAACACTTTTGTATGATCTGGTGAAGTCACAATGGGGTGGGAGCTTGAAGATATAGGGGAGAAGCCTACAGATGTTGAAAAGGGAAATATTGAATCCCTTCCCTGATGCTCCAGATCATTTGAGATGAAGGAAAAATACTCTTGTCGGGGCAATAGTTGACTAACAGACAGTTTTTCATGCAGGGCATTGTAGATGTGTACTACACTGAGAACTACAAAGGTAGTGTGTCTGCCCTGATCAGATGTTCTTACAGAAAACTAATAACTAACTTTGTGTTAGGTGGTGAGATTCTGAGTCACAGTAGAATTTCCAGAAAAGTGATAGTATAGGGTTGACTGTAAGGAACCAGCCTGCGAATGCCCTTGTCAGATGATACCATTAAGGAGCAATATGAACAAGGTTTAATGATGTCAAACTTTACTGTGGTCTGGGCCTAAGGGAGGGAAGCAGTAGAATTTCATGTTCGTTTTTTTTTTTGTAAGGTGGCTGATATTTTCTGGTAGCATTTCTGTTATATTCTAGATAGATATTAATATTAATCATAGTAGAACATTGCTTTTTTTGGGGGGGGTGTTAAGGAACCCTGGTGGCATACTCGGCTGTTAAGCAAAAGGTTGACAGTTCCAATCCATCAGTTGCCCTGCAGGAGAACAATATGATACAGTCTACGTCTGTGAAGATTATAACCCTAGAATCCTAAGATGTAGTTCTACTGCATCCTATAAGGCTGCTGCAAGTTGGAATCTACTCGATGGCAAATAGGTTTGGTTTTGTCTATGATTAGACACTTTATAGCTCTACCATTTTCCTTTCAATGATCTAGAATGAAAAAGTGCATTAGTTAAAAAAGAAGGCCATTAACTTTTATTTCTAGAATATTTCTTTGAGAAAAACCACAAAACTAATAGAAGTTGTAGCAGGCATAGTGAGGGAAGTTTTTTATTTTTAAAAAAATAATTTTATTAGGAGCTCATACAACTCTTATCACAATCCATACATACATCCATTATGTCAAGCA